GGGGGGGGGGTGCGTGACGTGTTGTAAGTGACGTCTGAAAGGACCAATAGGAGAACGTATACATCTGCTCACCATTCTGGACCAATGGGAATTCGCGAACAACCCGCTTCAGTTTACTGGCCGTCATCTGATTGGCTGCTCAATTGAATAGGCTTCGTGAGCGAACTGAGCCCCTCCTCGCCTCCGAACAAGGAAGTGAATCACGAGCGAGGAGTTAAAATCTCCAGTGAAGAGGAGCCCCTCCGTCATTTGAACACTGTCACTGGTCAAATACCACAATCCGCTGCACACCATGGCTCAGTAAGTTCTCCAAGTAGCTTTTAACTTATTCAAATAGTCGTTAAAGTTGGAAGGAAGCGGCATATGCGTGTGGATAAATCATTTGTTACGTTACACTTTGTGACCGTAGTCGTTTCATTTGTTCATAGCAATCTTCTTGATCTGTTAGTGTACAATACACTGTTGGCTAACACGCTTTAGTGTCTAGTAGAATCATATGTAAAAAAATAACCGTTAATAGTGAAAAGAGATTAAAAATAAGGAGTCAAGATACGTTACAAATGAGATTTAATTTGCATAAAATCCAAAATGTTTTTAGTGTGATTGTGGACAGTTTTATATGACCGTGTTGATGCTCAGTTAACGTGATTACTCCTCTTCTCCTCACAGAGCAGACATTGCACTGATTGGTTTGGCTGTCATGGGCCAAAACCTCATCATGAACATGAATGACCATGGCTTCGTGGTAAGATGATGACTTCTGTGTTCACTCCCATAACTTCTGGGAGTAAAACTTGTTCCACTTGTTTTTTTTTATTAATCCCATTTTTATTTCACCCAGTAATCACCGAACCTCACCCAACAGGTCTGTGCTTACAACCGAACCGTGTCCAAGGTGCACGACTTCCTGAAGAACGAGGCGAAGGGCTCCAAGGTGATTGGAGCCGAGTCTCTGGAGGACATGGTATCCAAGCTGAAGAAGCCCAGGAGGATCGTCCTGCTGGTCAAGGCAGGACAGGCTGTGGACGACTTCATCGACAAACTGGTTGGTAGTTCATTCTGAACGTTGCTCCAATCACTCGTGGGAAAGTGAGTCCTTCCTAGTTACAACAATTGGCTTCGTGCTGCATTTGTTGTTCTTCAGGTTCCTCTCCTTGAGGCTGGGGATATCATCATCGACGGTGGCAACTCTGAATACAACGACACAACAGTAAGTCGTGGGGGGGAAAAAAACCAGTTTGGCAGTAAATCTCATATTTCTGTTTGTGGAAGTTCTCATAGTATTTGTGTTTCTGGCGTACAGCGGCGGTGTAAGAGTCTGAAAGAGAAGGGCTTCCTGTTTGTCGGCAGCGGAGTCAGTGGTGGAGAGGAAGGGGCGCGTTATGGACCCTCACTCATGCCGGGTGGACATAAAGAGGCCTGGTGAGTTCCCCAGAAACGTCTTAACCGCTCACACTTTCAGATCCATGCTAGATGGCACAGAAATGCTAAAATAAACAGAGTGAAGCCTGATACAGCTGGAGATATGTGGGACTTTGGGCATGTTGAAACAGGGAATATCTCTGACAAGATAAATGAGGGAAAAAAAAAAACTCTTGCTGTTGCTTTATTTTGAAGGCTGCACATAAAAGACATCTTCCAGAGCATCGCTGCCAAGGTTGGAACAGGAGAACCTTGTTGTGACTGGGTGAGTGCTGTTTAACGTGTGCTGAATGTTTACTATACTTATTGGCCGTAGCAGTTGTTGTCGTGTCAAGTCGTCTCACAATATTCTGACTGGCTTGCTTGTGCAGGTTGGAGATGAGGGTGCAGGTCATTTTGTGAAAATGGTCCATAATGGCATTGAGTATGGCGACATGCAGCTGATTTGTGAGGCCTATCACCTCATGAAGGACATTCTGGGTATGGACCACGATGAGATGGCACAGGTGAGCTTTAACATGTTCTCTTCACTGGTATGTTTTGTGGCATGCGAGTTCTGTACAACCAAGTGGAATAAAAAAATTAAAAAAAAGGTGTGGCTGACTATATTTCATCACGCTGTGGTTGCATCACTCAGGCTTTCGAGAGCTGGAACAAGACAGAGTTGGACTCCTTCCTGATCGAGATCACGGCTAACATCTTTAAATACCGGGACTCTGATGGCACACACCTGCTGCCCAAGATCCGCGACAGTGCTGGACAGAAAGGCACAGGGAAGTGGACGGCCATTTCAGCCCTGGAATACGGCACACCTGTGACTCTGATCGGTAAGAGGAAGAAAGGAGGTGGCAGACGAGGAAGTCTCTGGTTTCCTTCTCTCTCCTTCCATTGCTGGCTGCTTTCAGTAAACTGTGTTTGCCATGATGACATGGCAAACACAGCTTTGTTGCGTCACACATGTTACGATTTCGACACCGATTCAACACATTGAAGGGCAGTGAGCCTAGCTGTTTTAGCTAATGTTTAGCTTTGTTGACTCACAGCGTGCCCTCTGAGCTGCTTCTAGAGAACTTGATGGATATGTGGCTGCCACTAAGAAGATTGAAGGCTTTTCTAGTGGCCTGCTCATCTCAGGTGACATAAGGAGGCTTTGTGATACTCTCTGCAGCTTTGCTCTTTGCTCTGACTGTATGGCAGTCTGTTTCATAAACAGCCATGGACAAAATACAGGCGAGGGAGTTTAATACTCCAGTAGATCCCTCTCTGTGTTGTAGATCCTCTTGTGATGGAGGCATTACAAAAGGTTTCATTGTGTGAGAGCTGAGCCGGTCTGTGTGCATGGATGCATTTCTGAACCCGATAGGGAAAACGATCCTCACCAGTATAGTTCCCTCACTGGACACATTTTCTCTCCGTCTGTCTGTTGCATCACCTTGCTGTGCTGTTTTTTTTTTTGTTTTTTTTTTGGCAAGTCACGCTTACCCAACAGCAGCTTCCTCCTGTGCGGTGGTGATTTAATTGACATTTTACTGTGGCAACTGGCTATCCTTTTTTTTTCCTAATAGTAGTGGCATGAATCTTGTATAGCTACTGCTGAGTCATGCTGATCTTTGGGCATTGTTTTTATGTTAGCATGGTGTCCCTGCAGCATAGCTGTGGCATTGGCTAACACAACCCATGTGATGGTTTGTTGTGAAGGGTTTCAGAAAATCTAAATGACTGTTTACCGAGCTCTGTTTTTGAGTGACGTGTGCAGAGAGCTTACCTTGTTGTCCCTTTTCTATGCCTCTTGTCTCCTTCACTCTCCCTCCCTCCCTCCCTCCCCGTCTCTTTCCTCATCCGTGTTTCAGGGGAGGCTGTCTTTGCCAGATGCCTGTCCTCTCTCAAGGATGAGAGAGTCGAGGCCAGCCGCAGCCTTTCAGGGCCGCAGGGTGTCAAATTCAGCGGTGACAAGGCTGTCTTCCTGGAGGACATCAGAAAGGTAGAACACACCGTGTGGTATACTTGCCAGATTATAAGGCACACCTTGCTAAAACTGATACAGTCTAATACAACAGCCCTGCAATATATCCTCCAGTCGAGAAGGTTATAATGTTCAGTTTTTTTGTTGATACTGTTTTCGAGAGGATAGATGCTCGGCTTACATTGACCAGTATTCATTACAAATTGTGTCACGATGTCCGATTTATATTCAATCTCTTCTCTCAAGGCTCTCTACGCCTCCAAGATCATTTCCTACGCGCAGGGCTTCATGCTGCTGCGGCAGGCGGCCAAAGAGTTCGGCTGGACCCTCAACTACGGCGGGATCGCTCTGATGTGGAGAGGAGGCTGCATCATCCGAAGGTACCTTTGAACTCGTTTGTGTCTCCATATCATAAGTTTTGCCTCAGTGCTGCCTTGTGCAACTTTTATGTCAACAGTTGTCTTTCACACTGATGGTGAAAACTGTGGTTTGGCAACAATGTAAGGGAGACTTCTTGAGAAAGCAAAAACGCTAAAATGGAGAAGTTTTGTTTTTTTGTTTTTTTTATCGATTTAATTCACTTGTAAGATTTTGAAATAGGACTTTTAATTCTACAATTATTATAGGGTAAGAGGGATAAGTCTTAATGTCGTTGCCCTTTGTGGAATGCTGGAGTGAGAAATCTAATTGAAAGAAAATAGGACCCTTCCTGTAAAACCATAAAACGAGAAGAATGCCAGATTTCACAAAACAAATCAATGTCACAACCATCACGTTGCGTAAACTCAAATCAAATATAACACTCGGGGTGACTTGCAGTGTTAGCCACCATTTAACCTGTTCATGGTATGTTTTCATGCATTGAATAGTTATGTAATGACATGTCCCGTTACTGTGAGCAGAATCTTCTCCTTTTTCTGTTACCATTGTTGGCTAACGCTGCTCTTAACCCCCCCACCAGTGTCTTCCTGGGTAAAATCAAAGAGGCGTTTGACAGAGACGCGGAGTTGCAGAACTTGTTGCTGGACACTTTCTTCAGTAATGCTGTGCAGGACTGTCAGGTATGATGAAGGAGGAAGTGGCCAAAGATCAATCTACAATACCCAAACTGACAAAAGACACACAAAAAACAGTTATTTCCTCTTTGACAAAGAAAAGACTGAACCGCACCACTTATTAGCTTAATTTTTAGTTTTTGGAAGGTAGTTTTCAAAATGCTGAGCCTTCCGATTTCTTTTTTTACGTTGTATTGTTATGTAGATGACATCGTGGATTTATTCATTGTTTATCCATCATTCAAACTGTCATCTGAGACTATTCAAGAGTCTGTTAACGGACATGTGGAAAACCTACCTGAACTCAACCCAATAGAAGACAACAGTTTGCATCAGACCTGAGGGGACACAAACGGACCCAAATAGAGAAACACACAGCAGGCAGCATGATTAATTAACACTTCACAAATCACAATTTCCATCTTCTCCTCCAAAAGCTCATAGCGAGTCTGCACGGATCCACCTGGACGTATTGTCGCACAGACCTAAGACCCACGGCAACACACTGATTGGGCTGAATATAATTTGGACCGAGCTCAAACCGGATCCCTGTTACTATGAACTGAGTGGCCTCGTAAATACATTGTCCGTGTCCTCATATGAACATGACTGTATTAAAGGGCCACGGTGTAGGATTTGGCTGCAGCCAATAGTGAGGTTGCAGATTGCAGCCGACTGAAACGTCTCCTGTGTGCCAAGCGTGTAGAATAACTAAGAACTAAACATCTTGATTGGTTATTGTTTTGTCCGTTCTTGGCTTTCGTAGAAACATGGAAGTGCAATTTTGAAACTGATTGAAGAAAACCCGCTCCATCTGTAGATATAAACGGCTCATTCTACAGTAATGAAAACGCAATCATTTTTATTTTCATGTCGTTATCCACTTATAAAAACACTTATTAATACTATATTGTATTTCTGCCAATAGAACCCCCATAAAATGTACACACTGGCTCTTAAACACCAAATTGCATTGCCTCCATGAAAAACAGACTGTTGTTAACCTGCTTTATTTCTCTGTTTAGGAGTCGTGGCGCAGAACAGTGAGCACTGGAGTCCAGCATGGCATCCCGATGCCCTGTTTCACCACCGCTCTGTCCTTCTATGACGGTTACAGACATGAAAAGCTGCCAGCCAACCTCCTCCAGGTAAGACGACACATGATGCTGCAGAGCAGAGCCTGCTCAGCATGTGGCGAGGAGGCACGTGGGATTAAAGAGATCACGTGTCGCTGTTGTCTGTTTGTGTTGGGATCTTAAGACTCCGATGTTTTTTTGTTTTTTTATAGTGACTTTACTCTTCTGTCTTTGGACTCGACGATTTTTAAATCTTTTGAAGCTTCATCACCATAAAAATATAACCAGTTTGTCAATTTGAATCTCACATGGTTGCGGTGCTTCATAATTAAAAAGGAATATATATTTTATTGAGTGTTTTATACCGTCATTGACTGCTGACTCCTCACTATTCTCAGCCGGGTGGTAGGAGGTGCGAGTGATCAACAAGTACCTCGGTAGCAAAAGGCGATTCTAGAAATCGGCAAAGCTAAAAACAAGCCGATATGTTGTGATCCATTAGAGTTCTTATCTCCGCCACCATCTTCACCGTAAGAAAGATTGAAAATGTTAGTGAAATTCAACTTTTCTTTGTTTGGGAGGAGAGAGGGAGATGCAACTGTTGGCGGAGATCTGCCCTTTACTGAGAGGTTTTAGTTTGAATCTGTTGGTTTAACAAAACAAGCAATTTGAATGTCGACAGATTTAACAATTGTCCAATGAATCATTGGTATCTCTGTGAGGCTGTAAAATGTTGTTTATGTTTTTGTTTTGTTGTTTTTTAGGCCCAGAGGGACTACTTTGGAGCCCACACGTATGAACTGCTGTCAAACCCCGGTCATCACATCCACACCAACTGGACCGGCCATGGTGGAAACGTCTCCTCTTCATCCTACAATGCTTAAGGGTCATCGTCACGTCACTCAAAAACAAACGGGATGGAAGTTATCTGAGAGAACTTCCATCCTGTTATCCATAACACATTCCAGCTTTATAACCATGATAACCACGCCTGAATATTTAAGAGCCCC